GGTGAAAATTGCTTCAAACCTGCATCAGATGGTTCATAATATATATTTTGGAAAAATATTTCTAGTCCCATTATATCAAAAAGGTGCCATAGTAGTTAAGATGTTTGTCTCCCAACCATGGGGGTAGTTGGTTTGAGCCCTACAGGATCACAGGCATGTTTCTTCATATGGCACTTGTTAGTACTGGCAAGTTTTTAGACTGGTGCTGAGATCTTTCCTCAGACAATAGACAATAGTTCATTTCTATTTGCCAAATAATGTTTGAAAATTTCAAATTTAAAGCATTTTTTTATGTAAGTTTATTTAATAAATTTAGGATGGTTAAAGTTTACATCAACAAAACAGTATAATATTTGGTTTAAGGAACATCTGTCATTACCAATATATCTAAACTTGTATCCACCCACTCTGGAATGTGACATTCTGAATGTTACATCATTTCTAGATAGGATATTCTTAAGCTATTTTATATGCAGGCTAAGTGCAGCAAAATGAGCAATATTTTATCATTTCTTTTTATAGTGAAACAACATGACTTGTACAGTATAATTAAATTCATCAATTTTTGCTATAAAGTATGCATTTTCAAGGACAAATGCTTGAATTTTATACAGTAAAAAAAAATGGTAAAGTTATTGATGTGTACAATGGTTCATTACAAGAAACATTTAAACCGAACCATTTTCACATTATGACACCAGGAGATCAGACTGGTGTAGGACTGTGTAGGAAAAGGTGATTAGACTGGTGTTAAAGTTGAGAGTTTAACAGAACGAAATATACTTTTGATAAAATGATGAAATATATAAGACAAATAATTGTTTATCTTAACATACTGTACCATAGACCTATGCTAAAATGATTCTCAAAGTAATTACTAATGATGTTCTTGAGGGGGCTGGCGGATGGTGCTTAGCTTGCAATAACCACTACTGCCAGCAAACCTGCATCATATAAGGATTCCATTTTTCTCCAATTTTAATCCCAATCAGTTGAACTTTAAAAGCTTGATATCACTTAAAAAATTAGAACAGTCCATGGACCATTGAAAAACTTGATGTGGGATATTACTTTAGAGATGGGAGATTGGTGTATATCAGGTTTATCATAATTTATAATACTGATTGTTTCATGTTGTTGAATCGATTTTCATTTTTGAAGTATTTGAAATGGAAGACAATTCACCTGTTACACATCAATGTTGACATAATAGCTGATCAAACATTATGTCATGTTATAAGAACATAACAAGAGTACTGTACAACTGTCTTTAACAGTAAAGTAAACAGTTATTGTCTGGTCACCTTAGTGCATTTATGGGTTAATTCCTATTAAATTATCTAAGGAGTTAACTCATTACTGCACACTAAGGTGACAATGTATATATTGACATTTGTAGTCTTCCTATGTTTCATTAATGGGTAATATAAGGCAGTTTTATCTTATTTTTACATCAGAAAAAGGGAGCTTTCTGTATGTTAATCTTCAATAATTTTTAGCTCACCTGAGCATGCTCAGGGTGAGCTTTTAGGATCGATGATTGTCCGTCGTCCGTCGTCCGTCCGTCCGTCGTCCGTTCACATTTAGTTGTTAACACTCTAGCGGTCACATTTTTGCCTCAATCATCATCAAACTTGGTCAGGATGCTTATCTAGTTGATAGCTCGGATGAGTTCGAACATGGGTCATCTCGGATGAGAAACTAGGTCACAAGAGCTAAAAATAGAAAAACCTTGTTAACACTCTAGAGGTCACATTTTTGCCTCAATCATCATCAAACTTGGTCAGGATGTTTGTCTAGGTGATAGCTGGGATGAGTTCGAACATGGGTCATCTCGGATGAAAAAGTAGGTCACCGGAGCTAAAAATAGAAAAACCTTGTTAACACTCTAGGGTCACCATTTTTGCATCAATCATCATCAAACTTGGTCAAGATGCTTGTCTAGGTGATAGCTCGGATGAGTTCGAACATGGGTCATCTCGGATGAAAAAGTAGGTCACCAGAGCTAAAAATAGAAAAACCTTGTTAACACTCTAGCGGTCACATTTTTGCATCAATCATCATCAAACTTGGTCAGGATGCTTGTCTAGTTGATAGCTCGGATGAGTTCGAACATGGGTCATCTCGGATGAAAAAGTAGGTCACCGGAGCTAAAAATAGAAAAACCTTGTTAACACTCTAGCGGTCACATTTTTGCATCAATCATCATCAAACTTGGTCAAGATGCTTGTCTAGGTGATAGCTCGGATGAGTTCGAACATGGGTCATCTCGGATGAAAAAGTAGGTCACCGGAGCTAAAAATAGAAAAACCTTGTTAACACTCTAGGGGTCACATTTTTGCATCAATCATCATCAAACTTGGTCAGGATGCTTATCTAGTTGATAGCTCGGATGAGTGTGAACATGGGTCATCTTGGATGAAAAAGTAGGTCACCGGAGCTAAAAATAGAAAAACCTTGTTAACACTCTAGTGGTCACATTTTTGCATCAATCATCATCAAACTTGATCAAGATGCTTGTCTAGGTGATAGCTCGGATGAGTTCGAACATGGGTCATCTCGGATGAAAAACTAGGTCACAGGAGCTAAAAATAGAAAACCTTGTTAACACTCTAGTGGTCACAATTTTGACTCAATTGTCATCAAACTTGGTCAGGAAACTTGTCTAGGTCATTGCTGGGAAGAAATTGAACATGGGTCATCTTGGATGAAAAAGTAGGTCACTGGAGCTAAAAATAGAAAAATCTTGTTAACACTCTAGTTGCTACTGTTGTGATCCAAATATTCTGTTAATTGGTCTGAAAGTTTGTTTTGATGATTTCTAAGTCAAGTTCGTACATTGGTCATCTTGGATGAAAAAAACTAGGTCACACCGCCCAAATATGGAAAAACCTTGTTAACATTCTAGTGGTCACATTTTCGACTCAGTTATCATCAAACTTGGTCAGGATGCTTGTATAGGTAATTGCTTGGATGAGTTCGAAATCGCATGTGGAACTAGGTCACCGGAGCTAAAAATAGAAAAATCTTGTTAACACTCTAGTTGCTACTGTTTTGATCCAAGTATCCTTGAAATTGGTCTAAAAGTTTGTTTTGATGATTTCTAGGTCAAGTTTGAATATGTGTCACCTGGGTAAAAAACTAGGTCGCACTGCTCAAATATGGATAATCCTTGTTAACACTGTAGTGGTCACATTTTTGACTCACCTGTCATGAGACTTGGTCAGAATGCTTGTCTAGGTAATTGTTTGGATGAGTTTGATAAATCAGGTGAGCGATCTAGGGCCATCATGGCCCTCTTGTTTTTTGTACCTGTGGATCCTTTCTAATGTATTTTAATGTTTTAAGATTACTAAACAGATTTGAAAAGTATTTATTTCATTTTTGTGACATATAAAGACGCTTCAAAAATTGTGTTGTTCAACAACCTGAAGGCAGCAGAATGGACATAACTTCATGTGGAAATGAAAAATAACTTTATTTAAAAAGTAGAAATATACTGCAAGAGAGTGTCTGTGGCCGAGTGGTTAAGGTTGTTAATTTCGAACCTCTAGCCTTCAACAGCTGTAGATTGAAGCTGTGCAAGCATCATCCGATTCAGCTATCCAGCCAGCTGACATTCTACTTGGGGTGCCCATCACTGCCTGAAATATGTATACTGAAATAATGCACAGTACAGAGGGGCACTCCATTAGCTGGAAAGTTGCCATATGACCTATACTATGTTGGTATTGCAAGGTGCTATGTAACCCAAGCAAACAAAAAAAATTATAATAATATACTACAACAGTGCTTAGCTGACATGCACATGCATAATGTTACCATACAGATTGCACAGTGTTAACCAATGTTGATATTTAAATCCCTTAAATATGAAAGCAAAACAGGTTTGTTATGTAAAGTTGGCAAGGTTAATTAATGTTGTAAAATTGGCGATAAAGCTTTTAATCAGCATTGAAAGGGTGGTCTCATATGGTAGTAGATTCCTTATTTAATCATGAGATTTTAGTGTCACCTTGTAAACATTAGGATTTATAGTGTTTGTTTGTGTCAGATAAATTTGTTGTTATCTGTATGCAGATAATGGGCTGACTGGTTAATTAACCTTTAGCCAGCTGGCAGTAACAGATTCTTCCAATGTGACAAGTGTCCACCAAGATTGGCCCAGCACATCTCAAGCCGTCTTGGTCTGCATTGTTCTATAAAGTTAATAAATATTTTTTAAATTTCCCCTTAAGTCAACAAAGGTTTCAAAGGTGGAAAGAGTCCTGCATTTACGATATTATATTTAGATATTAGTGTTGTGTTAAGTGTAAAAGATGCAGTTGCCTAAAGAAGAGCCAAAATATTACAATAAGATCAGACCTGAGAAAAGAATTTAGGAAATGTAAAAAGGTTAAATATTTAAGTAATAATTTCAGGTTTTTATAATTATGCAGTATAATGATTGATTTTCCATATTTCTACAGCAGTAGTGCTATTATGCAGCACTTAAATGATGTTTGAATATTTTTTTACCTTCTTTTGGTTAAAAATTACGGGATGTATCCTTTAACTTAATTAGTCTGGGAGGGGGATGTTGGTGAATGAAAGATTAACTGCAAATCCACCCACTTGAAATTGTTGTTATTCAGGTTATAAAGATCAGGTTGAATATTTGAATATGTTTAGTCTTTATAAATCCATGAAAGTTTAGTAAGAAGACCAGGAGATGGTCATATGGGTTTCAACAAATCCTCGACTGCTATACATTTTTCTGTGCTTTTAATACAGAGTTGAGATTATAAAGCTTTGTGCATTGAGGTGCAAACATTAACTATTCATAAGCATGTCTACAGATAAGGATGAAAGTTGTGAGAATAAAACGGAAAAGACATTTCCTTACATATATTAAAATTGAAATGAAGTACTCAAAAAATGTTACACTGTTGTATTAAGCTTTGCTTACTCTGTTTAATAAGTGTGAATACTTATCATTTTCTTCTAATAATATTTTGCAGGATCATTGGCAGCTGAATCTGTGACGGTTAGCAATGATATAGAAGTGAAACCTACTCAAGACCCACTACTTGATCCAGCCAACAGAGTAGATGTTACCCTTAACTGTACTGGAAGTAGATCAGATCTTAGTTATTACATCAAAAATAGGTAAGGACACCACTGTACTCCCAGGGCAGCACATTGTTCAATTTTACAAAGATTGAATGGCTTCCTTCTGTTTACATTTGAGATCAATGATCTAACTTCTATAAAAGAAAGAAATGGTTTTCTTTAGTACTAAAATATGGAGGCACTATTTTGTGCCAGAGTAAATTGGAGAGGTGTTATTCAGTCTTTGTAAAAATGAAAAATTTGCTGACATTTTACAGGTTGTAACAAAATGCATTATGTAAGGTTAATAAGTCAAAAAATCTTTGATATATTACAAACTTTTGAGATTGAGTCTAGTGTGATTAACCAGCATTTTATTTGTTTAATCTTTTGAAATTTACAAAATGGTAGTAATGTGCAGACTGGCATTCAATCTTTTCACATAAAACTTAAAGTAAGGATTTTACAAATATTACACAGTCTAGAAAACTGTAGACCAGTTTCATGTCAGTCTCTCCTTTTTGACTGAAATAACTATGAGGTTTGCAATCAATTGCTTGAAATATAACTGGCAAACATGTATGTCTATTGTCTACAATGTGGAGCCAGGCTCATCTACGACCACATTATGCAGGGTTGAAGGCTGTCCAAATAGCTAAATCCACAGTGTCCTAATATCTAATGGACCACAGGTATGCTAGTTTTGGGCTTGACACATGTAGGTCCATAATGATTTGTTAACTTACTTAAGGTGATATTTTTTTGTTTGTTTATAAAAGTTGTACACAATGTACATGTACTTGAATTGTGTTAAGACCCATTCTAAAATAGGTTACTGCCTGCATGCCTAGTGTAATAAACTAAGTCTGATGGACTGGCTGGAAAAAAAACAACAACAAATTATTGTTGGTTGATATGAATTATTGGATATGGAATTCCATAAATATATACGTTTTCAAATTCAGAGCAAGCAGTCATTAACACAAATTTATTAGGACGAAAGTCAGTAAGAATTTTTTTACAAACAATTTTTAGTGTAAATTTGGACACTTGTCTTGTGTAAATTTGGACACCAGTGTCAGTGAAAATTTGGACACCAGTCTGCTTACTACAGTGGCAATTATGATCAAATGTCATAATCTTTCTAAATTATTTTATCATCAATTTGATTCTGAATGAATGCATTCTCTAACTTAATATTTGCTTGCAATTCAAGGGAAACAACCCTGTGAATACTAAATTTTCTTTGTCTTTGTAGTTAATTACCTTTGATGATATCAAATATGTTTTAAGTTGTTTCATTGAATTAATGTTTTAGATATGTTTTTATTTTCAGGCTTATAAATGTTTGACTTGAAATGTTTATAATTAGTCTTAATTAAGACCATTAGATTTAATAAACAGTACTTTGTTGAAGCAGTTTGTTCCAGAAGATATATTTGCATAAGTAAAATGAATGCAAGAAACTTAGGCTTCCTATCAGTACTATAATTTTATATTCTGTATACCTCTAAAATATAACACCTTTGTAAATGACGGCTTGAATTTTATGTTTGCATTTCTTTAAGAGTGCTTCTAGTTGTGGTTACAATAATTCATTTTTTTAGTTTGAATTTGACTATATCATGCATAGCCTTTTGTTAAGTCTTGCAAGTTATCTAATTTTATTGCCTTAAGAAAATTTATAATCATTTAGAGGATGTGGTTTATGATTTATTTTTCAATTTGTTTATTTTGAAATACAGAGTCGCATGGGCTTTCACAGACAGCAAGGGCAGAAAACATGATTTAACCCAATCGTTCTATCAGGATCCAAAGTCTGAATATGCTGCAATACACTTTAAAAGCGGACATATTGGTTTTAAATATTTACAAGAAAGCGCAACAAAACTATATGTGTTCAGTTTATCCATTAATGGTATGTGGTGTGAACCCCCATAATTGTTTTTAAAGGCATTTTTTTTGCTTTATTGTTGGGGAATGATTTTTTCATATCACTTGTGTTACTATAGTGAAAAACATATACCCAACTTTGTGTAATCATGACATGTTCAGTAGAGACTGTAGCTGAAGTTTTAATTATATTCTCTCTATAATCATCATGACTTGTTGTATCTCACTAGGCATTGGCAACAAGACTGATTGTGATACAGTAGCTCAAGCAAAGGGTTTTTCCCCTAGAATACACGAAACAGTGCAAAAAAGCTATATGTATTTAGTTTAGACTATTTAGTTATATATAAATGGCTTGTATTCCTAAACTTTTGTTTATTTTTGAATAAATTTTAAATTGAAATAAACTATGTCAGGTCAAATACATGTTCTAAATCAGTCTTGTTGGTCATGCATAAAGGTGTCTCTCAAAACAAACTATATATAAACAGGGGAAAAAAGACTAAGGAAAAAAAAAAGAATTTTATGGAAACAAATACATGGGAACAGCAGTTACTGTGAAAGAAAGACAGCTCTATCTGAGACTGGTCATGAATATTGAAAAAAAACAAAAACAAAAAAACACTTAAAGCTGCGTGCCTCCAGATTAGCAAAAAATCAAACTGAAGAAAAATGTGCTTAGATTTAAAAAAAAAAGTAAAAAAAAAAGGTTCAATTTCAAGAAATAATTAACATATCATGTTAGATTAATGACTGATTTTTTTGCAGTATTTATCATTATACTTTAACTGCTTGTTGGCTACTATTGGATATTTTGACCTCCTTTTGGATAAGTTACGTGTTAATTTATTGCCATTTGTAATAATTTAATTAATTTCTTTGTTCAATTAACTACATTTTACTTTTAAATATATTTTTAAAATTTTCACGAGCATTAGCACGTATCTGGAGGCGTGCTGCTTTAAGACATAAACCAGTGCAAAAGGATCAGTCATCAGGGAAGATATTATTAACGTATCATTACATGTTAATGTGGTTATTTTGAGAGGCTCAAAAGTTTTTTATAATTAGACGGTCAGTGAGATTTGACAGCTAAAATCTAAATGCTTGGCCAGTATTTATTAACATTAGCTTACCTTTGTTGGCCAAATAGCTTATCACAAGGTGACCTCGATTCAACACTCTTTACATTTATATTGTAACTTTGTTTTGAACACCATGTTTCCTCATGTTCAACCCCGTTTGTTGACAAAAATTTACTGGTAAATTGAATATTTACTTTGTTGTGAAAATAAATGAAATACTATTGTGTGTTCTTGCATATTGAACACTTCATGTGGATTCATTGGACATGGAAAAATATGGTGTGGAATCAAAGATAGGGTTGAATCCAGGACACCTGATGCTAAATTAGATGTAAAAATATCACCAAAGAAATTTTTTCTTGTGAATTTCTTTGAAAATTTTAAATTGAAAGATCCCACACCCTATAATTAATCATTCTTATAACTGCTTTGTCACATTTTCACTTACCTAGTAGCTCATGATTTTTGAAAAATAATTAATTTCTCTATTTCTTTTGCATCAAATTCTGAAATGTTTTGTGTAAGTTGAAGGAAAAAAATTATCAGAAGCTTACAATAAGGAAGACTATTCGAAATTCTTTCATAACAGTTTCCATAGAATATATTCTTTCATTTGAGCAGTTAAGTCTTATTTGTTTAAAAATTACAAAATAATGATTTCAAGGTAGTAGAAAGACTTATCAACATCAAAATATTATATAAAACATTTACTGGGAGATCAGTTAGATAGATTTTCTTTTTAAACTAATTTAGCTTAAAAAGGTCAGGGCTTTAATGTAATGAAGTCCTTGTCAAAGAGCAATTTTGCAAATTGGTGTATTGTTCAATTTTTAGAGAAAGGGTAATAAAAATATTCCATCTTGATAAAAAAAATTTAAGATATAAATTTGGATTAAAAAAATATGGCCTGTTCCTTACTGATATAAGCTGGCATATATTAAAGGGACTCCACTGAGTTTTTTTACATGAACAGACTAGAAACAATTTTTTCTAGATTAATGTTCCATTTTATGAAGGTCTAGACCAATAACTTGTGTGCAAAATTTCGAATCACATGCTCAATTTTAAAAAAATAAAAAATTGAGAACAATTATTCTGATTGTGCAAAATTTTGCTCATGCCATTTATACAAAAAAAAATTTTTTTAGTACCAAAGTCTCACTCAAAAGGCAAACTCCATTTAGTTCTAAACTTGTATATGAATAATTGTCTGTTTTCTTTGTGGAAGCCGTAGGGGGGGGGGGGGGGGGGGGGGGGAAATTGAAATTACAGATAAGACAGTTTTTTATACACCATTGCAACTGCTCTTTCAAGGCTCACATACAGTAGTCAATTATGTAACTAAATTGTGCAGGTTATAGATGGGTGTAACTAAATATTTTTAACTTTTTTTCTTCTATATGTCGTTTTATAACTGCTCAAATATTAAACACACTGTGCTGCATGGCTAGAGATTTTTGAGTGAAAGATTGTATAGGACATGCTCTTTGTGTAAAGACTTTCTGCTCTTTATAAGGCACTAGAACACTGTTGTAGTCAGTTTGCTAATTGAAGAAAATCATATTTATCATTGTTAATTGTTGCATGAAATATAGCAGCATTTACTTCTACTATTTGGTAACTTTGAAAATACTTATGTGTCAATAACAGACATTAAAGTTTTACCAGTATAAAGGCAGTCCAGGCCAAAATTTGTAATAGTCTGAGCAGTATGCTGGTAAAAAAAGGTATTTTATTTAACATTTCAGTACTGAAATCTCTTTTGTTTTCGCTTGTCTATAACAGAGCGGAAAGTCATCTGAAAGGAGCATTGTAATTGCTTATTTAAAATATTTATGAATCGTACCAGCAATTACTGAATTATTGAAAGTTTTTGGTCATACCATTTCATTGGCTGTTTAGTTCCATGATTTGTACTGATTGGATTAAACTCTTGACACCCAGGCTTTCTAACATTTATACCGACTTAATCCATAATCAATCATCATCATCATTGTCATCAGCATTGCAATCATCAATCATCATTGATCTTGATATTTTAATTAGGTTGCAATATTGAAATGAGGAACTTGTTATGTA